TATTTAAAAATTAATTCTCAATATCTCTCACTTGCTGCTTTATGCTGCAGTTTCCTTTCTTTGCCTCCTAACATGCTTGTTGTAAAAGCTGACTCATTCCCCTTTGGGCTTTTGAAATGTATGATCATCATACAATGTACATTGCACAGTCAAGCATAAATATCCAAAACAAACTGTATATCCATATTTGCTCTCCATGCACTTAGACAGGCACTGTTGTGGTTGTTCACTCATAGTTCATTTGGATTTCTTTTCAGAAATATGGTGGAAGAATTTAGGTTGGATCAAATAGCAAGATTTTAATAGTTTTGTTCAGTGATGTCCAGATCAATTAGCATTTGTTCAAAAGTGATGTCATCCCCCTCTTTTATATCATTTAAATGCTTACTGATATGTTTTCAATTTTATGTTTTCTGATGTCACTTTCAGAAACATCACGACCAATAGGATGTAAAATGCTGGTTGATTTAATTGGAGACTGCAGATAATTAAACGTACATTCCAACTCTGAATTTTTTTGGCAAGATTGAGAGTGCCTATGAATCCATCTGTTGACAAGCAGACCTAATTCTGGATCATTAACTGATTTTCACAAGTGATTATTTGATCAATAAATAATGTAATGTTATCATGACTATCACATCCATACACTGGTGCATCATCAAGCTAAATTAACATATGAATATGTGGTGAACCTCTCTGCTGGTACTCAACTCTGTAAAACCAGTCTGAAATTTTCCCAAGGAAGCAGCACTGCTCATAATTAGATAGTGCCTTAGAAACTGATTGAACTGGTAATCAAAATGTCATACACACATCACTGGGTCACTCTGAATCAACCTTCATTTTTCCTCCCAGTTTAAATTCTGTCATTCATGATCTGAATAATCTTTATCATCAACAAGATTGCCAACTATTCTTAGGAGATGTATCCATTGTGTTTCAGCTAATGAAAAACTACAAAACAAATTTGCAGGACCTTGTTGTCTTATCGTGAAGATATCTTTTTTGGCTTTCTTGAAATAAGGGGGTGAGCAACGCAGAGCTCTTAAGAACTTGTAGCCTTCATCCAGATTTATTTGTCTTTCCAATGCCCCTTCTTGCCTTAATTGACCAGCAGTCAGAATCCTTTGATTTCCCTTGCATTTCTCTGAAGCTACTTGCGATCTACCCAAAAGAATCTTCATTTGCAATTTTTCAGTTTTGAAAAAAATATTCTCGAAACATTCCGCAGCCCTTCGATAAGACCTTCCTTATTCTGACTTGCAAATAGCACTGTAATGAACAGGGACTATCCTTTCTTCATTGCTTGATAATTTTTGACCAAGAAGTATACCTGGATAAGCCAGTTCTTCAGAATATCTATCTCTAAATATACTCAGAGGTACATTTCCTTCACCAGGTGCAATACTATTTATGTGGCTGTTCACTGTCTTCAAGGAAGTCATTAGCTGTTAACATAGTATCAGTAACTCCTATGGGACATCATCTTCCGTCCAATTATCAACTTGCTTTGAACTGTCATCATAAATGTCAATATTACATCTATCACTTATCAGTCCATCCGACTGTGAAACATTCCCAGCATCTGCTTGATTTTGCAAAAAGCTTGTAAAATCATCTTTAGCTTCTCTCTTCACTAAAAGATATTCCTTGTTCTCTATAAAGAGTACTGTTTGTAGCTAACCATGTTGCAGCTTGCAAAACTTTAGTTGGTCTTACGTATAAAGACAATGCTGAGTTCTTGTATTCTAATCTTCTTTTTAACTGAGTTTTGATTGTGCCCCTTTCTTGGGGTAGTTGTGATAATAAAATTATGTTGACGGTATTGCTTACATCTGCTGGAACATTTACAACATTTCCTTCTATCAAACACAACGAGTATATGAAATTCATATATCTGAACTGCAGTTATAGAAATGTATTTGTGCATGAGCCTCGCAGTCAAGAGCACTATTTAAGCAATAGTGAAAATCAGACCTGAAAAATTCAGGCCTGTATGGGATTCGAACCACTGACCTCTACGATACTAGTGCAGCACTCTACCAATTGAGCTAACAAGCCAACTGGGAGCAGGTTTCCTCTTGTGGCTTTAAGAATCTTCTGAAAGGCCAACCTTGGTGCCAAAAGCGTGCACTCTAACTCACTCAAATTGAAAAATTCTGGTTTCACTGGAAACAGCATTCCATCTTTAGCTGCACATGATGGTATTTTGCCTTTTCTCAAACATTCATACCAACAGGAACAGATCCATTCCAGGTTATCAATGCTTTTTTAAATTAGCAAATATTGTCCCGCAATTGGGTTTGACAGTCTTAACTTTTCAGCAGTTGTAACACTACGTCTATACCACAACTGGTCACAACAAGAACAGATATAGAATGGGCCTCTTGAGACAGCAACATGAAATTTTGCGATTTCATCAGCAATGGTTGACCTACTCAAAATACTTTTAGAATCTTTTGCTCTAAGTAGCCTTTTTTGTCTGGATTTTGTGGACTCATTTGCAATCTTGTCTGTTTGATACTTCATCATATTTGCCAGTCTTTTTCCTCTACATTCCGCAGATTCATTTGTAATCTTATCTTTCTGATACTCTTCTTCTTTGCTAGTCTTTTTTCTCTACATTCTGCAGATTTATTTGCAACCTTATCTTTCTGATACTCTTGCTTCTTTGCCAGTCTTTTTTCTCTACATTCTGTAGATTCCTTTGCAGTCTTATCTTTCTCATACTCTTGCTTCTTTGCCAGTCTTTTTTCCCTACATTCTGCAAATTCATTTGCAGTCTTATCTTTCTAATACTCTTGCTTATTTGCTAGCCCACTTTCTCTACATTCTACAGATTCATTTGCAATCTTATCTTTCTGATACTCTCACTTCTTTGCTAGCCTACTTTCTCTACATTCTACAGATTCATTAGCAGCTTCTTCTTTCTGACAGTGACACTGGCTTGCTAGCCTATTCTTTTAGCATCATTAGTTTCTTTTTGCTCCCTAAATGCTGTTGTGCAAGCTTCATTTGTTTACATTCTTCACTTTGATTCCCCTTTTTGTTTTTCTCGTACTGACTTTAGCAATCAGTCCCTTTTCCTCTACTGTTTCAGCAGAACACTTTTGTTTCCTTTTATTAGTTTCATTTGGGTTAACTTCAAAAGGCATATCTCCACTTTTCTGATTTTTGTGAACACTTGGCAATTCAATTTGACACCCTTAATCTCAAAAGGTACAACACCAGTTTGCAAGGAGGAAATTTGTAAATATGATACTAGGTTTTCCATGCCTTCAATGTAAAGCAAAGTGCACTTTCCAAATGGATGGGGCATCCCCAGCAAATCCTTGGAATGTGAATCAAATATTTTAAAACTTCTTTCAGAGTTCTTAAACACTGCAACTGTACTAATGCAAAATGTAAACAAACAGCAGTTGTAGTTTGAAAAAATGTTTGTTTCTCAAAGAATTGTCAAGAGACCTGTAAGGGCCATGGGTGGATGTCAAGTGCAAACTTCCCGCTATTGAGTCACTATTTTGTAATGTAAATACTTTGTTGTAAATTGAAACCATGGATGGAACATCAGTTAACAATAGATAGTCATTTGACTGCACACAGCACCTAATGGAAGTGTACAGAGTATTTCCAATGGTCACAATTCTATCTAAAGTTGAAGATCTCCATAAACTATTATACTCTAAGTGATTGTAAATTATAGCAGTATAAGGGACATTCCTACACATTGCTTACCAGCATTTTCACCAAATAGCCCTTTTCACAGTTCCCGGCGCCATATTGGATTTGTAACCGCGCAAACATGATAGCGAGTTTAGTGTTGAGTCGCGTTACGAGTTCTAGTGAGAGTTTAGTGAAATGTGGTGGTGCTCTGTCCTTTTCATCGAGATATTTCGACAATGAATGATACTTTCCCTACGCAGGATATTCCTCCTTCTTCTTCGAAAAGAAGAGGAAGACACTGTGCCGCTTTTTGGTTGTGCTAATAGCTATTATGACACAGCAGGCAATCCAACAGGTCTGCATTTCTTCTAGTTTCCGAATGACTTCCAGCAGTGAATCAGATGGTGCAATCTCCTGAATCGCCAGCATGGAAAGGACGGATTCTTCATCACAAAATCAATTTTTTTGTGCTCAGAACATTTCAAAAAAGAAGACATGCGAAAAAACGTGGGCAGGTCGCTGGAAATTGGTGAAAGGTTTATAATGTTTGTACGGTTGTTTTGTTGCTTGGATACCGAAAGAAAATGCCTGCTTTGATTTTCGGTATTGAAGTGTTTATGCTGGGATNTCCTTTCCATGCTGGCGATTCAGGAGATTGCACCATCTGATTCGCTGCTGGAAGTCATTCGGAAACGAGAAGAAATGCAGACCTGTTGGATTGCCTGTTGTGTCATAATAGCTATTAGCACAACCAAAAAGCGGCACAGTGTCTTCCTCTTCCTTTCGAAGAAGAAGGAGGAATATCCTGCGTAGGGAAAGTATCGTTCATTGTCGAAATATCTCGATGAAAAGGACAGTGTAAAACCACATTTCACTAAACTCACACTAGAACTCGCAACGCGACTCAACACTAACCTCGCTATCATGTTTGCGCGGCTACACATTCAATATGGCGCCGGGAACTGTAAAAAGGACTATTGTTCATCTCCTTGACTGAAATCAGCAGACAAAGTTCTAGTAGAGTCCACTATATTGAATATTGCAGGCCCTGGATTTTCCTCCACATCGTTTGCAAACCTTAACAACAATAGTATGTAAACATTGTAGTACATAAATTGGGTAAACCAAAACACTACTTCATTCCACATTTTGTTTTGTCCAACAACTTGTTTCAATGTTGGTAAGTTAAAGAGACATTCATGTAAAACATCATTAGCATTATATTCCAAACACGATCCTTGAAACACAACAAAGCATCTTTTCTTTTACGGAAATTTTCACGAGAGCCGATTTTTGATCGGTATTGTTCAACAGAGATTCCCATATTACTTACTTCTGATAAAATCGTAGGCTAGCAGACTCTTACCAACTGTGTGTACATGGATCGTCCAATTCGATTCAGCAACAACAGCAAGGACGACACAAGCCGACTGCAGGAGAATCTCTTTTGCTTTCAAGTAATTTCAGAGACTTTCAAATACTTTCAGACACTTTCTGATATTCTCAAGCAGGTCTGCTGAGCAGATTCAAGCCGTTAGATGTTGGAAACTTGGACCAGTTTTGTTAGGCGCGCATACTGAGCATGAGTATTAGGTCTGTCACGGTCACACAATCTGAAAATTTCGTCCTCCTCAAGTGGTCGACGACGAGTCTTTGATAAAAAGTTGTCCTCGCGAGACCAGTTTTTTTGGTAAGTTTTGTTCATTGTTGACAATGCTTTTATCTTTCAAAAGACATGAAAAAATATTTTTAGTCCTGTAAATTGTAGTTTTGATGACTAGATAAATTGAGAGTGCTAAAGCGTTATTAATACTTCATTAAAATATTCTTGAAAGCTTTATGGCCATTGCGGGGACAATTAATTGAAAAAGAAATGAAAGATACTAGTCTATCAACCTTTGAAAAATTACGAATTGTCCTTTTTTTGTCTTGAAAAAGGACGTAAACAAGAGAAACTCCTTTTTAATTCACTATTTTTCTCTTGGCAAGATCTGTATTTTTCTCATTGATGTTCTTGTTGATTTGTAGTAAAAACATTATTTGGTTGTTAAAAATAAGCATAGGTAATCGTCAACATCTAAGTTCTTTACTTATGTTTGAAGTGTCTCCCTCTCTTAAGTATTTGTCTGCTTCCCTTCCTTGTCTATTTGTGCACCTAGCAGTGTTTTAAAATCGTTCTTCCCTTGCTGAACTGAAGCTTGAAATAACTTATTTTAATTTGTTTCTTTTCCCGGCTAAAGGAAAGGGAAGAAAGATTTGGAAATACTCTTGCTGGCAGGGTAGTATTTTTATTCGTTTGGTATGGTTGCTGAAATTAGTGTTGTTGTGCAGTTCAATGTAGATGCCAAAAAAGTTTTAGATTAAGAGAAATAAACAACTAAAAATTGAAATATTGAACCTCCTGTACAACCAGGAAAAAATAGGGAACCTCAAATTTGGAGGAAAGGCATTGAGCTGAATTTATATCACTTATGCGTTCAATCAAAACAATTGCTGTTACAATCTAAGTGATTATACATTGCATCCTTTATTCTTATAGATAAAATGTCCACATATATTTAAGGCGCAGCATGACACTGCTAAAAGAGGTGGTAAAACAGTGTCACAGCATGACAGTGCTAAAAGAGCAGCCTCACCAGCATGTCCTTGGCTCTGAGGAAAGGGGGTTCATCGTGAGACAAGCTCTCAAAAAATCTGGTCAATGAGGGAATGAAAGTGACAAAGTGATCAGAAAGAAAGAGGTTCACCAAACTATATGAAGACTTTTTAGAGAAAGAAAAGAAGGGGAAGAGAGACAGTGGAGTTGACGTGGAGTGTAAGGAGAATCAGTAGCTATTGATGGATTACCATGAGCTGATACTTGACTGGGAGAAGGAGAGGGAAGAGAAAGTGGATGATGAGAAGGCAACAGAAGAAATGAGGAGAAAAGCCATGGAGAGGTTGAGCGTGAAGAAGAAAAGAAAGGTCAAAGAGGCTGAGAGTGATAAAGACGAGGCAGGGCCCTCCAGGAGAAAGTCTCAGAGAAGCCTGGTTAAGATAATGGTACAAAGTGTAACTAACTGCAGAGAGGAGAAGAAACAAGATATGGAGATCAAGGAAAATGAGCTCAAGCAACAAGAACAGTTTCATGGCTTAATGTTGCAGCAACAACAGCAAATGCAGCAGATGCATTTGCAGCAGCAGCAACAACAACAAGTCATGAATTTGGCTATGATAAGCACACTGTCTGAAATGCTAAATACTGTATGAAATATGGCCTCCCAGTAGCTAGAGAGTCACAGAACAGTTGCCAGTTTACATCTGTATTTCTCCACGTATATATGTCTGTACATGTATGAAGTGATCATTGTTGTGCAATGAAAGCCAACCAGAGCTGGCTTTTTATGGAAAGAATAGACATAATGATGACATGCTACAGGTCTTGGGGTAAGTGTCAAGTAAAAACATTAAAAAATAGACTTGCTCTGAATGGCTGTCAGTTTGGGTTCATAAAAAATCCCTTCAAACAAGTACAGATTTAAATTGGGAATTTACAAAGTCATGGATCGAACACCGAAAAAAGTATTTCGCTATGCTTCAATGATCTTGTCTCAGATTGGTCAAAAACTGCGTGGAAATGAAGTTAGAGTTGCGAAACGAGATGAAACCGGCGTCGATTGTTTTGTTTTCCCTTTCTCTGGGTTCTTTCTCGGGAGTTAAAAATCCATTCCCAAAGAAAAAGTAGGCAGATCTTCATCGGCTTGTTCGCTTGTTGCCATGTCTAGTTTAACTTTTTTGCGGAAGTTTTTCCCTTTTATTAATGAAAAATGCTGAAGTCACACGCGAGAAAAAAATTTTTTCCCGAGGCATTTGTTTGCCGACCTCACCAGCGTGCACAATGGANTAACTATGTCCAGGTTGTAAAGATCACCTTGGCTTTTTCTTTCTTTTTAAATATCCCGTACTCAAAATTTTTTCGAGGGGTCTTAGTTTTCGAGGTAGACTTGCTCACAAGTCGCGCTTTTGAGCGCGTAGCGCGACATTGAGCGCGAAGCGCGAGCGAGCCGAGCCGAGCGAGCGAAGTTCCTGCGGGTCCTACCACACCAGAACAGAAAACCAAGCGAACAACTTTGAGAAAGTCTATTTTCGAAGGGTCTTAGTTTTCGAGGGGTCTTAGGTCTTAGTTTTCGAGACACCCCTCATATCTCGAAGTGTTGCCTCTACACGGTCTTAACTCCAGTACGGAATCCACGGATTCTTCCGATTTTAGTCCATGATGATCTGTGTAACCTCCTCCTCTTCAAATAAATCTTCAAGATAGAACATTTTTGCTGCCGCAAGTGTATTTTTCTTCAAAAGCATGGTCAAATCAGGGAGAAAGCAGCTTGAAACTGAAAAACTTACACCAACACCGAGAACATGTCTGTAGTGCCAGTGCGCGCGTGGCCAAAACTGGTCATGTCCTGGTCCTTGTTCTCGGATCTAAAGGTTCCGATCCTAGTTTCAATGTGGCGCAACCTGCACCAAAGGTCCAGACCGTTAAATGTTGGCCTGCGAGAGCACAACTCCTTGCTGTAATCCGCACTTAAAAGACAAGTCGGCTGTGGGGAAGCTGGCGTGTGAAATCTAAGCAACAAAGATGGAAGAATAACTAGATAAAACACGATCTTCGACAACGTGATACACCCAAAAACACAAAATGGCCGCTTTCTGAATCTTTAAAGCTTTCGTAACTTAGCTGAGCGTAGACTGGAACCTATCCTCGACGTTGATAAACCACGCGACAAGCGCTCATCATCATCATCATCACCGTCGTGACAAATCCAGTCAGGCAGCCGACATAGTACGGTTTACAATTCGAGTAAGCCACACAGAAACCGAAAGACAGGATATGATCTAGAGAGAGGCTTCCAGAGGAATCGTAGACAAGATTAGATGTAAAGATTATGATTGTGTTTACAATGGTTGGACATCGCGCGCGCTAAAAACATGCATAAAAGAACGCACAAAGGCCATAGCAACATTGGATGAAAACTCTTTGTTGGTGAAACTCCATAGGCTTCACAGCCATCAAATAAATTTGGAGAGTGTTGAAATTATTGACAGGTCATCGGCTTGGCGACAAAGAATTATTCTTGAAGCTTGGCATTCCGTGCGAGATGGGAACGCTATAAACGAACACAGCGCTACCAAACATCAACAATAACATTAAGAATTTTTTAGAGCCATTAATACTCTAGAGACTTTTTACTCTTAAAAAATTCCTTCGAGATTTAGTTTTTATGATACATCGTGTACATCTACCAAGTAGGACGCCGTTAGACATTTGCATTTTTTATTTTTGCTGAAGAAGTCAACAATAGTATACGAAACGTCCACAAACATATATATTAGCCAGTGTTGACTTTTTAATTCTTCCCACCAAAATTTTTAACATGTCTGGCTACACCAAATATTTTTAAAATCAGCGTGTACTGCTGTATTACGCATGAGCACAGTAAATGCAATATACATTTGGCAACGACTCGGATGTATTGCAGCTGTCTTCCTGTTTTGCATTAAAAAACTGCTGACACCTCTACAGGTGAGTTCAAATTGTTGACCTATTAATTAGCCAATCCCCAAATGTGCCCTGGTCACAATCTCTTTCATATAGTTTCTCAAGTTAAAAGAACACGTTTCAGAGCTTCCTAAAATGATAATCAGTTGTTTCGTGGAGGCACTTAGAGGTAACAGACTCAAGCAATATCGGATCTCGGCGAAAATTCTAGAAGAAACCTGACAAAAATCTACGTTCAATTTGGAAGTTTAGGGTCAGAATTTGAATAAGAAGCTTTACCTGATAAATACCCATCGGTGAAAAGCTTTTGTGTCTTAATATTAACATACTGTTATCCCATAATCACATGTGTTCAGTTAATCTCTCACTGCGTAAATATTTCTTGGATGATTATAAGCTTGAAACGTTACGATTTTAACGTCAAACGTAGTGATGAATGATCGTACTTCACTGTTGTTTAATCCATGGCAATTGAGCAAAGTGAATTACATTATCGATAAGTCTAGTAAACAATTGAAATTCTGTGACATTAAAAACTGTTTTAAAGCAGCCTGAGTATGGACACAATTAGAGCTAACTGGAATGACATTAGGTAGCATGTTTTGATCATAATACTGAGTTAAGTTTTATACGAACTTTGTACTTCTACGGATCATTAGGTGCTCTTTGGATTGCGATTATTATGCTTTTTTTCCGCGTTCAATATTGATAGCTGAGATATTTGTAAAAGTTTATACCTCTCGGTAAGAATTTGAGGTGAACGCTTTCTAGTAAAAACCGTTAATTAACAATATGGGTTTGTTTTTTGGGGCGATTAAATCACAATAAAAAACCATCTGCTACTCAGGCGATACGAAATTGCGGTTAGTTTCCTGGTTGTATTCACGAGCACTTCAATTTATGTGGAGTGATAAATGAAGCATGACTTATGTTGTAGTTGTGGCCACCCTTTAAATAAGACGTAGCTTAAGAAATGGAATAGAAACAAGGGCTTAAGGGTGGCGGTGCCAAATAAGCATTACGTCCGAAAACCGAAGATGGAATTTTTAAAAACCAACATGACGTAGATCTTCTCTGAACCTCTATCTTCCACATTAATAGAATCTCTTTGCAGGCACAGAATTGCTGGCACAGGCTTTTTAATGTTGTTCTCCGCAGTGATTCCTAATGAAGCAGAAAAGTCAGAGGCCTTGTTCACCCTGACTTAAACCTATCTCCCTCTGCCTACTCCCAGTCTGTGTAGGCCCATTGAAACTGCCTACCATCTGTTCTGAGCTATTTCTTCGAGCTGCATCCGAATGTAGGCCACCTTTCTCTCCTCGTTACTAATCCCTAATCTTTAACCCTTCCGAGGAGGAACTTGACCCTAATTTAACAAATGGTAAACACCACAGCGTACACTATTGAGTTATGGTGCACGCGGGAGGTTGCTAAGCACGAAAGAAGCATAAGAGTCGCTCGAGGCGATAGCCGAGAGCAACTCTAGCTTCTTGAGTGCTTAGCAAACCTCCCAAGTGCATCCATAACTCAATAGTGTA